ATGTCCAAACTTTTTGGTGACCGTAACACAATCCAACAAAGTATTTACGACGTGACGGCTATCGCAGAAAAGGTGACTCGAAAAGGTGAATTCGGACTTTCGGGTAGCAGTTCTGTGAAAATTGGCCAAGAAAAAGGCATTATTAGCACCTTCACCCTCGAATGAAGTGTCCAGCTTATGTTAAAGCCTGTTCTCTTTGTGGCAAATTAAACCATTATGCCCAAAAGTGTAGATCAAGGGGGGTCAAGGGGGACATCGCAAGACCTGTAAGGGTAGTTGACAATGACACCAGTAGTGATGATGATTTATTCGTGGGATATGTTACAGAAAATTCCACCCCTACCAAAAGGGACCCATGGAAGGAAGCTTTGAGTATTCAGTACCGGCGTTTGCATTGCTACGCGGCCAGCCCAGACAAAAATCGCGACGTGCACTTTGCAATAGACTGCCGCCAAACGCGTGTAAATGACGTCAACTTGTTTGATTGACGGCAGTCTATTGCAAAGTGCACGTCGCGATTTTTATCTGGGGTGGCCGCGTAGCAATGCAAACGCCGGTAATGAGACTTTGATAACATTTCTGATTGGACACTGAGTTGCGAGCAAACATACTTTCCATTGCTGATTATGAGAAACTCAAGGAAAAGCCTAGAAGTAGGAACACTCACCTTAGACTCAAGGCCTACAATAACAACCCAATCAATTCCGGCGATGGAGATTTGCACCGTAAACGTTGCAAAGAAAGAACAAAAGCGTTAATTTGCAATATAGAAATGGTAGAAGTGGAAGAAGTAGGGGTCAGCATTATTGGTGCCAGAGATGCAGAAAGAGTTGGCCTCGTTACAAGTGGAGATGTTAAGGAACCGATAGTGATAAGTGATAAGTGCAGATATTAGTTGTTTACTAGTATTGGGCGTCTTCCAGGAAAGCGTAAGATCCAACTTGAGGAAAGTGCTACCCCTGTGATTAGGCCAGCCAGAAGGTGTCCAGCCCATATTAAGGATGAGTTAAAGAGGGAGTTAGAACGACTAGAGGAGAAGCACATAATTACCAGGGTTGGGGATCCCACAGACTGGGTCAACCAAATGGTATAGGAGAGAAAGAAGTCTGGGAAGCTTCGCATTTGCATGGATCCCAGAGACTTGAATAAAGTAGTGCAAAGAGAGCATTAGAGAATTTTAGATTAGAGAGCTTAAGATCGTCCTTGTTTACGGCAAACGTGAACCGTCAGTTGACGATTAAAAATTGCTTTAAAATTAGTGAAAAGGAATCGCAAAAATCTCCAAGTAGTAGATAAACGAAAGAATACTTCTCTTTGTCGAGAAGGTTTGCAAAAGGTAAAGTGAAAATTATGGAAACGTGGTCACGCTTGCTGTTTGCGGGAAGGAAGAACGGGAAACATGACCACGTTTTCATCGTTTTCCTGTATTTTATTTTACCTCTAGCAAACTTTCTCACCGCACACAAATATTTTTTTGTTTTTCTACTACTTGGATTTTTTTGATATTCAATTTTAGTAATTTAAAAGAATTTTTCACTGGTCAGCTGACGTTTCACGTTTGCCGTGAACGTATATCTAAAATTCTCTATTACCAGCTTCCCACCCGCAAAGAACTTGAGACCAAGATGGCTGAGCCAAGTACTTCAGTAAATTAGATGTTGCCCATGGCTTCTTTCAGATTGAAATGGAGGAAGAGTCAGCAAAACTATGTACCTTAGCTTACCTTTGCCACCCCCTTTGGGAGAAATCATTTTAATCGTTTGCCAATGGGTCTGTCCTCATCCCCTGAAGTTTTCCACAGGATAGTAATTGAAGGGCTGTAGGGTGCGCGCAGCTTTATTGATGATGTTATTGCCTGGGGCAGCACTTTAGCAGACTTGAACTAACACTTCAGCGCCTTAATTAGGGGTGCCCACATGCGTTTGAATCTCAATAAATGTCTCTTTCAACAGAATGCATACCTGGGGGAGGTGTTTTCAGAGGCAGGCATTCGACCCTCCCAAGGCGGTGGAGTCAGGGGGGCAAAGGGGGGCTGATTATGAAGCCCCCCTTCAACAGAAAAACAAAACAAAACAAAACTGAGGAATTAGATGCTTTTTTATTGTTTTCCGTTGTGTTGACTAATGAAACTGAATTAGCCCCCCCTAAACTCAATTAGCCCCCCCTAACATTTTGGCTGAATCCGCCCTTGCCTCCCCGGAGAAAGTCGAGGCGATCAAGGAGAGGGATTGAGAAGAGCCCTGTGACATGTCAATTATCTTGGCAAGTTTATTCCTAACGTGTCGGAAGCTACAAAGGAGCTGAGGTCACTGGCAAGAGATGGTTCAAGTTTCCGCTGGACTGGGGAGGCTGAGAAAGAATGAACGATGTCAAAGATTACCTCACTAAGGAACCCA